TTCTAACATTAGTTGTTCGGATTTTCCCTTGGAATAGCATTTTCCTTTTTCGCTGATGCCCAGTTTAATTGCAGTTTTTGTTTTTTACTAGAGAAGCCTCCAATTAGGCTGCGAGCTACTCTCACCTAAATCAAGTCTTTTCCCAGTGTAAACTTCAGACTGATATAGGTTAACCAATTAATGCGTTTGATCTAGCCCAAATCTTATAAACTCTTTTTACAGGCTTCCCTGGCATATATTGCTTCATTGTGGACCTTTCCTATGAATTTTACCTGTTTTTCATCAATAGATTGAAGTCTGAATATTTTTATTGAATTTTTATCTAAATGGGTGATCAAAGAACACATTTACTGTAATTTGTCAAATTCTGGACTCATTTCAAGGGACAGCCTTTTGATTGCCATTGATATGCAAATTTGAAAGGATTTTTTTTAATCTCTTTGCTGCCATAATTGACGAAGATTTCTTGATTATTGAAAAAAAGAGTCAGAAGACCAGTGCAAATCTAAGGATAATTTATTGATCCCCTTCATAATTAGGATTTCCTAAAAAGGCCTGCAGTTCTTCTTGCGTGAGGGAGTCCTTTTTCGGAACTCTTCAGGGATCTGAAAGGCAGTGCAAAATAAAGCTCTACAGCTTCCTCGGTGATTAACTTTTTTCTTTTTCTTCAATGCATTTACCTAAAATAATATTCATTACATTTAATTAGTTACTTATATTTGAAATCACTTGAACATACTGATCAAATATTACCTTTAGCATTCAAGTAATATTTTAATTCTAATTTCTAAATACATAAATATTTATGTAATCCTAAATAAACACTAAAAATTTTCCATAATATTTATAATAAATATTAGAAATAATTAATTACTGAAATGCTAATATAAAAGTATTAGATATACAAAGAAATCAAGTAGCATGCCAAACAAAATGCTATTTCTAAAGCAAAACATATTAGTAAAACTGTGTTTCGATCAGGCAGTGGTAAATTATTTACCACCTCTAAAATTGCTAACTGTGACGTAGTAAATATTTTTACCACCAAATTCAAATATGTATAAAACAAAATATTTCGCTATATTTTTTTAAATGCCTAATACGATTTAGCTATCAAACCTTTAAGATACAAAATATATGAATATATAGCTTTTAACGTATTTTTATATATCAATACACAATAAAATAAGAAAAGAGTACGTGCTTACCCTCTCCATTTTGCTTGAAAACTGGATGAATGCAGAAATGTTGCAGTTTACGTGGCCTCTACAGCCACCTATTACAGAAAATGTGAAGCTCTGGTTCCAGAGGAAAATTCCTGATATCGGGCGCTGGTAAATAATTTTCTGTATGCTGCTAGAAAACAAATTGCTTAGTGGTAAGATATTTACCACCGCCTGTAAAAGGGTTAAGGAAAAAGTGCAAGAACGATGGAACAAGTGGATAGGAGAGCCACATCACACCCTCAGGTAGAATGAAGCGGCCTCTATTTCATAAGTGTGCGAGTGGGTAAAAAGATCTTGGGAGGACGTAAAGGCTGAAGTAATTGTTAGTTCCTTTAAGAAGTGCGGAATCAGTAATGCTGTTGACGGAACAGAAGACGACGCATTATTCGAAGAAGGGGATATGACGGAAACAGTAGTGATGACGATATTCTCGTTTTCGATGATGATGATAATGAAAAAGACTTTTATGGTTTTGAAAGTGATTAGTCTAATTTCGTGATAGGCAACGTTTTCCTTGAATCTGTGTTTTTTGTTGTTTCTGCTTTATTTTGCATTATGTTTGATTGCTTGCCATTTCATTTATTATTGAAATTTACATATGTTCAACAGGGTTGCCACGCAACCGGGAGAACCGGGAAAAGTCAGGGAATTCGAAAATTGACCAAAATATTCAGGGAAAAGTCAGGGAATTTAAGTATTTTTGTCAAAATCTGGAAAAGTCAGGGAAGTTCATACAACGATCCCGCCAAAAAAAGCGATTTTTGCGCCGACGTCGGAAGAGGTAACTTTTTTGGCGAATTATGTATCACGTGAGTGTCATTCGGGTAGCTGGCATAGAGCCAATTTTCGCAGCTCCAATTTGATTGTCTTTTAGAAAGGCAAAGCAACTTTCCCGCAACTTTTGGTTTCCAGTATTTTCGAGAATCGCATGTGCAGTGCATGAACTAAAGAAAGTACCTGTCTCGTATAAAACAAAATGGGTTTAATCCTAGTATACGGTACTATGGAGGTTAGAATCAAAGAATATGTATTGTAAAGAAGGGAAACCTCTCTGCAACGACATGGCTGTGGCTCCGTTCCATCATAGAGGGAAACAGCTGTGCATGTCTGATAGATCTGTCACAAAGCTCGAAACCGTTGTCGAAGTTCGAAGGTCACGTTATCAAGAGTTCATAAAATGAATATCGTTTAAAATTTCTTTAACCACTTGCGCTAAAAAGACGTGCCACGCACGTCAAGATGCTTTTGTCTCAAAACCGCGAGCGACGTGAACACCACGTCGATAAGCATTTATCGCAAAAATGAAAATAACGTGGTGCACATGTCGCCTAACAACGAGATTGTTTATTTCTCGAGTTACAGCTCTGGATTGCACTCGCAGATGCGGAGCGGCGTAAATGAGACACTTTACCGCTTGTTATATTGTAGCGCACAGCACCGCAACCGTGAAGTTTAGTCTTAGCGCAAGTGGTTAAACTCTAAAGGAAAAGAAAATATTTTTGGCGCAAGTAAATTAATTCATGGATAGTATTTTCAAAGAAAAAAAAAAAAAAAAAACTACGAAAATCCGTTTTTTAAAATTATTGCGAAAAAATCCAAGAAGAAACGTCCTTTGATAAAACGTTCTTCTTGGATTTTTCGCAATAATTTTAAAACGGATTTTCGTAGTTTTCCTTTTGTCAAAGAGCGTTTCTTCTTAACACGTGTTTCTCAATTTCTGTACACATCGCGGAGAGGGAAATTCTGACCGCCAGGTTCCGTCGCCAAATCCCTGGCAAATTTTCCCTCCGCATTCTAGCGGCATAATAGCATTTTACTTGTATGGAACCTTTTCTTCTTTAATAGGTTCTTTGGTTAGAATAATAATGGGATTTGGCGACATCTTGATGCGCAGTGTAAACAGGTCATTTTGGTCTTGGCGACAATTTTCAAATCGTGCCAAAGCCTTACCGTATACTAGAATTTACCGCAAAATCTTTTTTAACCTTTTTTTTCTTTTTAATAACTACCTTGCCATTTTGCAGTAAATAAAAAAAAATAGTAATCAGTCATCTAGAGCCATGTAATATAACTATATTCGCTAAAATATAGATGATTATTCTAATTCAATTTTTAAGTAATTATTTTAAGTTATTCATATAATTAATGTTGTTTCTTCACTCTAAATTTATTTATTATTAGTAAATAATATTTCCAAAATTTCAGGAAATTTTTCTCTGGCATAATCCTGAAATTAATTATAGCAGTATGATGACATACCATCACGAAATTTAATAACATTTTTTTCCTTATGTATGCTGCAAATAAATATAAAATACCTCAATTTATTAAAATAGATTTCTTTCTTTCGTTTAGCTGCAGAATGTCTTCAAAAAAAGCCTTTTTTTATTCCAGATGGGAAGATTTAATCTCATCTTCAGTGGAGAAAACAACAACTATTATAATTATATTTGTGTTTTCAAGTGTTAAGGTTTTAAGAACATACCTCACGCAAATTAAATTTACCTAAATCTAACCTAACTATTTAGCATTGCGTTGTGTGATTATAAGGACGGGATTAGCCTCTTGTGAACTGGTGATGATCATGAGTAATAATTAAATAAAACATACATTGTTATCCAATATATATATCTTAAATTTTATTAAGTTCTTAAGTGGAAAACTAAACAAAATTATCAAACAAAGTATACCAAGAATAATTAAGAATAAATGTCCTCTGGGATTTATTGAATAATTAAGTGAATTTGCTACACAATACAAGTAATACCATAATTAATTTACCTCTTAGCACAGCCAACGTACATTACATGGATAGACTGGAATTTTCTTGAAACACACCTGTGAAACCTGGAAAAGTCAGGGAATTTCATTCTCCTGTTTGAGTGGCAACCCTGTTCAAAATAGCTTGCCGTTTGTTAACTTTTCTTAATAAAAATATGTTTGGTAATTGCATTGAATGGTTGTTTATTTGACTTTTATGAAACGTGAGAACTAAAAGAAACCACATTTTAAGTTATTGTAGTACTGCGCTGTCGCTCAGACTATTGAAACTTTTTTCCCTTGTGTGTGACCTTCTAAATAAGGGTGCGTCTTATATGCTGTCAAATACGGTATTTATTACTTGTTGATTCTAATCATCATATCTTATTGCATAATACATGGTACAGCACACTGAGAGCAATCGACACTCACAATTTTAAACTATGAAGTTACATTTTTAAACAGTGGAGAAATGTAGCTTAGTGAAGAGGCGTGATTTACCAGGACATTGCAAGAAGCAAAAGAGTGTGTGCACAAGGCATCCGAAATATTTATGCTCAGAAATTCTTTGTTTGAGTTCTAAATGATGTTTGGATATAAGCTCACATCAATGTGGAAAACTGCACGGAAAGAGTAACGTAAGTGCAGAAGTGGGGCTGTCTTCAAATTCACTTTAGAAACTTAAAGGTCAAAATTTTGTTAGATATTTTATATTTTGCAGCTGTGTGTACTGAGTAAATTACATCAACTGTAAGGATGTAATATGAAGGTAAGGTAATTGGCTAAAAGGAGTAGTACATTATAAAATTAAAATGGATATTTAAAAAACTAAAGTAACTTACTATCTTGGCTTATTTATGTCTTTTCTTAAATTATTTGTAAGTGATGAAGAGTTACAAGGTATATAATTTATAAATGCTAACTTATTAAGTGTTTTGAATAAAAAATGTCTTTAAATGCATGAATTTAATTTTAAAGCTAATATGTGAATTATTGTATTATTGTAATTTTTAGGTAATGTGGTTAGGCTATCCTGGAACCAGTGGAGCCCCTTTTATGGATTATATAATTACAGATAGAATAACTTCGCCATTGAGTCTTGCCTCTCAATATTCTGAAAAGCTGGCCTACATGCCTGATACATTTTTTGTTGGAGATCATAGGCAGATGTTCCCACACTTAATTGAAAGAGCAATCCTTGATGATAAAGATTGTTTAGGCAGGAAATCTGAAGTTCCTGATAATGTCAGCATCGTAAATGCTACAGATTTATCTCCTATTATAGAAAAAGCTGAAGTTAAAGTAAGAATTACGTTAGTTCTAAATTTCTTACTTTATGCCTTTAATGATTATTTTCTGCAGCTTAAAGTGCAAAAAAACTAGGCATATTTATATATTGTTTTAAATTTTTTTATAATTATATGTATACACACCCATTCTGTTACTTGGCTGAGTGAGCTCAGTTTTTTATTCTTATGTTGGTAAATTGTGCATTTTTTGCTTTATAAATGATTGAATTATGTTGTTCTTATTGTCCAGTTAAAGTGTTTATGCCTGTAGTTAATCTGCGTGCAATATTTATAGAATTATTAACAATTTAAAAGTTGTTTAAGTGTACCTAAGCGTAATTTTTTTTACTGTAACAGCCATATTTGTTTGCATTTGAAACTTAAGCAGAATATAGTACAGTCAAAAGTTGTTGATCCGGACTCGTCGGGACTTCGGCGATTCCGGATTATCGATTTTTCCGGATTATAGATCATCAATTTAAATCTGGTAAGATGGCATGCAGAAATTACAAAATTAAAAATATGAAACCGTAATTTTTGAAATAAAGAACAATTATGATCTAAAGGGTATCAAAATTTACAAAAGAAAAAGCTTAATATTTATTTGTTTACTTTATTAAACATTTCCTTCAATGTAAGTTGCTTCGTTTCATGTGATAATACTTCTCTTTAATTCTATTAACAGACATAATTTCTTGTTTAGTTACAAAGTTCCGCTGTTCAAGTCCTATAATTGCTGTGTTGAGAATACCGACTAATTTGTCAATCGAAATGTTTTCGTTTTCAATAACCTCTGGGTCGCTTCTTCACTATCTGAAGCGAATTATAATGACGAGGAACTTGATTTAAATCATATCAAAGACAGAATGAAATACTACACTTAGTATGGAATTATAAACCAAATAAAATAAAAACATCTGCCCTGAAGATAAGGATAGTGCTGACAGATCAACTTCCAATCGGCCACGTGAAATTGATAAACAGATTTCGGATCTCAAAACATACTTTCGCTTTGTAGATACAAATTACATATTAGTAAATATATATCGGAAATCTATTTGACATATCTTTCTAATCTATCATAATCTAATAATGACGTTTCTGCCCCCCCCCCTCTGCGCAGAGCAGCGTGAAATGATAAACAGATTTCGGATTTCAAAACATACTTTCGCTTGTAGTAATATATATCGGAAATTCTATTTGACATAATCGAAAGTTCAAGCTTTTATAAAATTGCTCTAACAGTCTGCAAAAAATAATAAGCCGGATCCAATTCGAAGATTAAGGAACAACGCAATCGGCAACATTAACTGAATTAGATAACTTTAGCTTAGCGTATAACTCCGTTACAGTTTAAACGCGCATGCGCACAAACATATTCGTAGCCGTAAGGGTCTTACGCGCTCTCGTAAACGCCTGTGCGCATGCGTGAACGCGACGCATGCGCAGAATGTTTGTAGCTTTGAGATTATAGATCATTCCGGATTATGGGTGTCTGAATTAACGACTTTTGAGTGTAAATTAATTCTTTCTGCACTTTCAGTGTCTTTTTGCCAAGTGAGACCAAAAGGGAACTTTTAATTTTGTGCACCAAAAATCTGCCTCCTTGCCTGCTGGCTGAAATGCATAGAAACTAATTTTAATCGTAAAATTTTTTTAAATCGTTTTAACTGTATTTGGTGTTTTATGTTTTTCTATATCTTACAATTTTTATGAGTTTTTATGTACACTCATGCCCATAAATTAAGGATAATTCAGAGTCACGCGGAAATCGAACTCTAAAATAAATATATCACCTGTAAAATCACTACACACATCTTCAAGAATCATATGTAAATTTCAGGAAGTAACCAGATGACACCGATGGTACGTCACAATGACGAGAGTGTAAGAGAGTGATATATAAGGAATACAGGCAAAGAAGTAAAATTGTTCGCAGGCGCATTATAAGCATTTCAGTGCAATAACCGAATAGTTATGACACAAAGGACGCATTTCGATGATTTTTTACGTGGTAGAATTATCGGCCGTCTGGAATGTGGGCGTACCCAACTGGAAGTATTATCAGACAAACTTGGAATTGCCCAGAGTGTCATCTCCAGGCTTTGGCAACATCTCCAAGATGATCGTAATGTGAGTAGACGTTACAGCACAGGTCGCCCCAGAGTTACAACGCCGAATGAGGATCGGTATTTGGCATTTTTAAAAAAAAAAGACGGAGCACAGCCTTAGACCTGTCTGACGAAACAGACGGAGCACAGCCTTAGACCTGTCTTGTCAGCTCTCTTCAGCCACTGGTAAGACAATTTCAAGGCAGACTGTGTACAGACGCTTAGGGCAGATTGGTGTATATGCTCGTAGACCTGTCAGATGCGTTCCACTTACTGCAACTCACCGTCGCCTGGAGTAGAGAGCATGCATTGGGGACACCGCAACAGTGGGCTTGTGTGATGTTTTCCGACGAGTCCAGTTTAGCTTGCAGTCTGATTGTCACTGGACTTTCATATGGAGAGCTCCAGGTACCCGTTACCACCAAGAAAACATCATTGAACGACATTCACGGTGGTGCAGGAGTGCTCGTTTGGGGTGGAATTATTCTGGTTTCCAGAACTGACCTGCATGTTCAAATTGGAACCATGACAAGCCAAATCTATCGGGACGTCATTCTGGAACAACGTGTACGTTTGTTTCAGGACGCCATGGGCGCACAATTTGTGTTTATGGATGACAACGCCTGTCCTCACCGTGCAAACATCGTAAGTGAATGCCTTCAATCGGAGGCTATCACCCGTATGGACTGGCCAGCATTCTCACTGGACTTGATTCCAGTGCAGCACGTGTGGGACATGCTTGGCCGATGAGTTGCAGCCCGTCGACATCCTCCTACATGTCTACCAGAACTTCGGAGAGCATTGCTTTTTGAGTGGTGCAATATCTCCCAAGATCAGATCGATAATTTGATACTCAGCGTGCCTAGGTGTTGTACGGACTGTATTGCATCGTCTGGGAGACATACAATGTATTAACATTCATACCAACCATGTAATTTTTTTTTTTTTTTTAATTTGCTCCAGGGGGAAAAAATCGCTAATTTTTTTTAATAATATCAAACATATAGCATCTTTTTTTGCTCTTTACCTTTTGTTTAATAAATAAACTTTACAAATGAGTCAAATTTGTTTTGCTTCTAATTCTTCCTTTGCCTGATTTTGCATTATCCTTAATTTATGGACATGAGTGTATTTTTGCCTTGCCAGGAAGTGATAATTGAATGAGAAATGTATCTCAAATTAAAGTCGAGGAAATAATTTTAAATGAAATACAGGAAAAAATGTATATAATTTAATATTCCTTACAACAAAGTCGTGGTGTACAAATCAGCTTTTTGTAATAATACTTCAGGCAGCTGGTCTTGCAAGCAGCTAGTGTATGCAAGATAATGTGTGTAAAATATAACTGCCAATTTTGAAATTATAAAAAATAGTATTCTGCTGTATTGTTATTTCTAAATAATTCACGATTCAGGTTATTAAACTATTTATATGATTCTAATGTAAAATATATTATGTAGTTAGATATTCTGAATTATACATTCTTTGTCTAATTTCCTTTTGTAATTTCCATACATTTTTATAGGTAATATTAGTAATGTACTGTATATTGTAAAAAAATTGAATTTAAATATTAATTAAACGTTGTTTGAATCTTTGTAAAATGTTCTGTTAGTGTCAACAGTAGATTAAAACATTTCTGATCATGTTAAAGTTAATAAAAAATTGTGTAGAAAATAAATGAAATTTGTATAATTAAAATAATTCAATAAATTTCATTCATTACTGTGGGAATCGTTTTCCTTAATAACAGCTGAAAATTAATGGCAGCAAGGTTTGATGATCTACCATTAGACAAAGAAAAGTCCGATAAGTTTTACCATAAGATTATGCGTAAAATAAATTATCTTTCCCTGTGCTCAGAATCAGTGTACTGTTGAATAGTATATTTTTTAGCAAATTTTTGACAAGAAACTGTCATATATTAATGTTCAAGCTCTTTTAGATAGTATTTGTAATTCTGTGAATATTTAACTAAATAGGTATCCGTTAATCTTTTTCCTTTTATTGCAAAATTCTTTACAAAATGCCATTTTCGTATTACTGCTTTAGAAATGTATTTCATTTAAATTTATTGGCCTCCTTTCTTTTTTTTTTTTTTTTTTTAATTTCCTGTAATATTTTCTTTTTAAACTTGAAAATTTTGTGAAATAAATGTATAATAAATAAATAAAACCATTTTCCCCTTTCATCATGTCTTTACTAAAAGCATTTTTAGTATGATTATTTTAATAATGTAATTTCATTCCAATTTATTGGCCATTATTTCTAATTTCCTGTATTATTTCCTTTTTAAACTTAGAAAATCCGTGAAGTAGCTGTTACTACGTCCCTTGCTTCAGAAAAAGAAGAAGCTAAAATTGAAAAAGTTGAAGTTGTGAAGACTGTTATAGAATTACCATCTATGCCCGTTCAAGCTATGATTAGTACTGGTCAGGTTCAAACATCAGTTAATGGCATTGTCGTACAGAATGGTTTAGCAACAAATCAGGTGAATATTAATTATGGTAATGTTGGTTATTACTGAGCATTTCAGCTCTGTTAATATTTAATTTTGTATTTAAAAAGTATTGTGTCAAGCAAAGGATATTTCATATTTTTAGTATTTTAAGCACTAATAGCTCTCTCTATTTTTAAAATTTCCTTGTTTATTTATATTTATATTTTAGATATGTGTATTGAGTTAAAAGCTTTATGCTCTGACATCCCTAGAGTATGAACATCAATAAAAAGCCACTTAAAAGTATTAATAAATAACCCTCTATCCAGAAAGTTCGGCCTGTAGCTGGTTCATAACATTACGCTGGATATCTGAAATGTCTGGCCCTTCAGGACTGATTTCAGTTTGAGGAACATGAAAAAGTCCATGTTGGATCAGTCTGGGGAGTAGGGAGAGTGATTAAGGGACACATCTTCTCTGTTGGCTAGGGATTGCGGCACCAGAAAGGCAGTGTAGGGCCGGGCATTGTCGTGGAGCAGACTCCAGATGCCTTGCTTAGCATTCTGGTTGCATACCTGCTTGATCCAAGGCGTTTCAGTATTTCCACATACGTAGCAACATATAACTTGGTGCCTTTAGGGAGGAATTTTGTATGGATCAGACCCTAAGAGTCTAACATCATGAGAATTTTCTTGATGTGGGATTTCTCACTTCAGTTCTTTTTGCTTTCGACAACTCCGGACCCAGCTATTCCATACTTTGATGCTTTCCTTTGGGGCCGTGCCTCAGACACAGTCATGATGATGATTTTTAGGAATTTTAATCTACTATGTCGATGAGATCTCTGCTGTCAAATCGAATTTCCATTTATTACATAATCAAGTCTGGCGCATAAGTCAGGAGCAAATATTGTGTTCACAGCCAATTCTCACTTTTACTGCTATCCTTTGCACTGTTACATGACAGTCCTGAGCAAAACGTTCCTTCACTTTCTGTGCATTGTCAGAGGTGCGTGCAGTGCCTGTGTTCAAATACTGGAGAATCCATGATGTTTGTAAATGCAGTGTCTGTATGGCAAATTTTGTAATTTGCCATACAGTTTGATGTTTGTAATTTTGAATTAATTAAACATTTGATGTTTGTAAATGCAGTTTCTGCAAGGGAGTACTCAAAATATGTGGTAAGTCGAAATCCTGTTAAGAGACTGGTGACAGAAGAAAAGAGGTGGGAAACCCTTTGTAGTATTTTTCCTTGTATGTACATCTAGAGCAGGGATGTCAAACTCATAGGTACACTTGGGCCAAACAAACAAGGTTTAACTTTAGGCGGGCCGCAAAAAAAAAAAAAAAAAAAAAAAAAAAAAAAAATCAATATTCATAGAAACGTAGATTTATTTCGAATAATACAATAATAAAACATATATATATATATATATTTATATAGAAAAGAACAAGAAAAAATTTAATGTTTACGTTCTGATACATGACATCTCTTCTCTGCTATTATCTTTCCTATTTCGGGAGAAATTTTGTTTGCAGTGATAACTTTTTAACGCTGACCCAAGGTGAGCATCATTAATACGGTTTCTAATAGGAGACTTATTACCTTTCATGATTGAAAATAACTGCTCGCACCGATAAGTGCTACCAAACATGGAAATAATTTCATATGCGAATTTTCGAGTATTTTCAAACCTGGCTGGTAAATATTTGTAAAATTCAAGCACGCCCACTTCAATGAATTTTGCTTTCAAATTTGAGTTGCATTGAGTCTTGATCACCTACCTCCATTTGCATATGGCTGGGTACTGAGTCAATACTTATTGAGAAAATCGAAGAAAACAAAAAAAATTTGTCTCCGAGGGACCTAAAGTCATTAAACCTAGTTTCAAATTCAGTTGTTAAATTTGCACTTTTTTCTGCGTATTTTTGATACGGACAAGTATCATCTAAACTTGATTTGTTCATGCTGCACGTCGGGAAGTGCGTCAAATCTTCATTTTTAAGTTGTTTTTCCCAAAGAACTAGTTGACATTTGAATGCTTTAATTTATGTCAAACATGTTCGTAATGATATGATCTTTTCCTTGTAACGATAAATTTAAATCGGTTAAGTGTTTTGGTTATATCAACCAAGAAAGATAAATCTTGTATCCGATATTGGATCGTAAAACAAACTTACGTCTTGATTTTTCGTTTTTAAAAACTGGACATATTTCTTCTTTCAAATCCCAGAATTGTTTGAGAATCTTGGAGCAAGATAACCAATGTACCTTGGTATAGTAGGACAAACCCGAATATTCACTATCTAACTCACTTAAGAACACAGTGAATTGACGCTAATTTAAACCTCAAGATCTTATAAAATTTATAACTTTTTTATATATGACAAAACATTCTCCGTATTTATTACTTTCGTGCATAGAACTTCTTGATGTATAATACAATGCATATGATGAATGTTTGAACCGTGAATTTCACTAAGTTTTTTTCTTAGTAATGCTACAAAGCCCTTGTTTTTCCCGGTCATTGATGGAGCGCCATCTGTAGCTACAGAATTTAATTTTGCCAAAGGTAGATTGTATTTCTGCAGAAGTCCAAAAACACAAGTAAATATATCTTCTGTGGTAGTACCAGGCATCGGTATTAGTTCCAGTAATTCCTCAAAAATGTTAAAATTCTTGTCACAAGAACGAAGAAACACTGCTAATTGAGCTTTGCCACTAATGTCCGTGGTCTCGTCACAGGCAATGGAGAAACTAGATGATTTTGCTTTGATCTGATCACTTAAATTCTCGGCTAAATCAGTAACTCTTTCCGCAACTGTACGAGACAATGAAATTGATTGAAAAGCCTTCACATTTCCAGGACAAACAATTTCTCCAGCTTTCATTAGGCATTCCTTGATGAAATCACCGTCAGTAAAAGGCTTTGAATGTTTAGCTATCAACTCGGACAAGACGTAGCTTGCATGTACCGCTTCACTTTCTTGCAATACTTTACTAAACATGGACTGTTTGCTTTTTCACTCCTAACTTGAGCTCTCTCAACTTATCTTCTCTCATTAATCCTTCGTAATTGTTATATTTCAATTTGTGTTGTTCGTAATGATGTTTAATATTATATAACTTTGGTACATTAATAGTATTATTACATATCAAGCAGATTATTTTATCTTTTATTTCACAGCAAAAATATTCTAATTCCCATTTTACTTGGAATATTCTATGTCTGTAAGCGATGTTTAGTTTAATTTTACTACCACTTGGTTTTGATATAGACATACTGAATACAAAGGGCTGGAATAAACACGGTTAACGTTAAAAAGTTAACAAAATTTATTTTTTCTTTCCACAAGAGACAAATCAAAATGCTGAAATATTTCTTCAAAAATATTCTAACAATATCACAAAATGTCAAACGTTTAGCAAAAATCAATTCAAAACAGAGAAACTAATTCTATCTATCTCACAGCGAAATCGCTACAAATCAATCACAGCATTAAGTAAACAAACAGTTCGCTAGAACTACAGCTACTACTGAGATGAGTTTGTTTGTTCTCGGCTTTTATAAGCTTTATAATTAATTTTTTTTCTCGAATATACTGGAAACATCTATAAATATCTGGATTTTGTGGATGGCAACAGCAATTACGAGATATTTATTTATTAGGTATTAAATGCGCGCGCTTTTCCATTTTTTTTAAACCATTCAATGCAGCTGTCTTTTCAAAATCGTCTGCGTTGCTAAGGCAACATGAAGCAAATCTAATTACAATTCTAAATAAAAAAAACTAAATAAATAAATAACTATGAAATCCGTAACAATATGAATTAAGTAATAACTAATAATAAAGCAAAGTGCATGCACATGCATGCACCAATATATCGTACAAAACTATGATTGGAAAACTGAGACCATGAGTTCGGCCACATTCGGCTATCGGGGGATGAGTACAAGTTCTAAGTGCACATGTCCCCCAAAAGCCGAAGGTCGCTGAACGCAAGCTGCTCACACGCATTTGTAATTTAAGTAGTGTGTGTGTCAGCTCGCTGTGAGTAATCTAACAACACTGAATAAATTATCGTTAATTACTTAGCAGTAAACATTTCATTTTTTTCTTTGTCGATATGTTATTTTATTATTGTATATTATTATTTGCCGATATATTGGCTGGGCCGCAAAAATATTTCATGCGGGCCGCGAGTTTGACATCCTTGATCTAGGGTAAGCTTAACAATTAGCAAGGTCCAGCTATGCCTAATATGTCCAGGTAGATGCACAGGTACCAACCTTGCTTCAGCCTGTACCTGTAATGCCACTGTAAACCCATTAAAGATGCGAACAGTTCTGCTATGTCTTATGATATTGACCACGCAATTAGTTGCTCCTTATCTATAGCAACTGGTTTCATAAATATGATGATGGTAATGAGTTCCCCTCTCTTCTGTACAAGCTAGCTTTTATGCTTTAATTTTTAGACTAATTTGGCTAATCATTTGTTTACCTAAGAATATATATTTTTTTGCAGTAGAAGGTTTTTTTTTTAAAATTCTTTTTGTCTCATCAGTTATCAAATGATAAACACAGACCAGTTTACCTTAGAAAGATCTCCACAAAGGCATCCCTCCCTTTAGGCAGAATGTTGTCTTGTTATATTCAGATAACGTAACTTTTGAAATTCATGCAATTTAAATGATGGAATTATTTCCTAATATTTCACTTCTTTTCTCTTTCATTGATGAAGTAGTTTCTCAATAGGAGGATATCACAAACTTGCCTGACTTTGCATTTAGGCTTCCTTCTTATTATTATTATTTGGGTCATTTTCTCTAAGCTGATATAGAAGTTTTGGTATTGTAGCCCAACTTTTAAAAATTACCATTTTAAATATAGTAAGTTCATTAATAGATTTTTTTCTCATGTAAAAATATGAGGTAATAGAAAAATTCTTTAAAACTGAACAAATCCAAATTTCACTGATCAGTGTATTCTTTTCTGAATTCCATATTTCATTGGTTCCTAAGAACCATCTTTCATATCTTTTTAATTTTAGCAACACAAATAGGAAAATCAATTTTCAATTCTAAGAAAATATAGTAAAGTGGGCAAAAATTTTGTCAGTTCTCAATTTTAATTTTTTTAATAGTAATCTTGTTTAACGGGGAAAATCTTAAATTTTTAATGTTACCTGTTATTACAGAGATGCGAGTTTTAAATTTGAAAAAGTGTGGAAGGAGTAAAGTTACTTTAAGAATTTCTGAATAACTTCTAGTACCTAAGACTTCACTGTGAATGTATTACTTGGGTAATATATGTCAGTCCTATCCCTTAGGTTAACTTTGTTCCATGATAGTGCCTATCTCACCATATAATAATAAAAGAAATGAATCACTAAAGGAAAACTGTATACTTTCATAGTAGGAAAAAATGTTCAGTTTTTGAGTTGAGTGAAATAATTTTATACATATCTTTCTATTCAATTGTATCTTTGAGTTGATTTACTCATATGTATAGATAACCAAAATCCTTTATATCCATTAGCAATGAATCGGAACAAATTTAGGTACTATTCCGTTTTGAGGACCGTAAAAAATTTTCAAACTATTGCTAATGCCAGTGCTCCCTAAAATAATTGTGGCAACCCTACCGCAAAGGAAAGTATTATAGTAAATAACTATCTAAGATTATTGTTTTAATTTAGATGAAAGGTTAATTTCATAGAATTTCTTTTTTATTATTATAATTTATATAAAAAAAAAGCTAAACATAACTGAATGAAAGCATAAGAGTAAATAACTATTTCAGATCATTATTATAATTTATATTAAAAAAGGCTAAACATAATGGATTCCTGCATTGCTATTTCGCTACCGAGTTATCGCTAAAGCATAATTTCATTTCGTTGGTTGTTCAAACATAATTTTCTGTAATGAGTGATGCCTTTTCTTTGAAAAAATTCTATTGCAGACTTTTCGTCATAGGCAATTCCCAAATTATTAAACCCATAGGATATCAAAAAAGAATTTAAAAATTTAACTAGTATTTCAATGGTGTCTTAAATATAGAAATATCTAAACTTACAAAATTTGAAATCAGTGTGTATGCTAGATTTGGTGCGCTGTTAAATAGGCACGTTTGCTAGATTTAGCGCTTTTGCGCATACATTTTCGCTGCAATTTTTTTACGGTCCTCAAAATGGAAAATTACCCAAATTTAGTGCACCGCCCTCTCTTTTTTTAGTTTTGAGTATGATTACCTTTTTAAGAATAATTGTACAGAGATGAAACAAAGGAATTACGAACTTTAAGTAATGCAACCAAGCACAGGTAAAATGTGCATCTTCAAATCTGCATTCATGGTGAATAACCATGTTATAGATATTTTATGAAGTAACTTATATAATTCTGAATAGTGTCTCATTGAAAATCAATTTTATTTTTCCAACATGTGTCATTATAATGTGTTAAATAATTAAGGAATTCATGTTTAAAATTCTTTATAGTTGGAAGTGGTTTGCAGCATAAACTATTTTACGGTCCCCCAATAATTTTTACCCAAATGCAATTTTAATTTCTAGGTAGTTACGGTAATAAAGTTTGTTACATCAAGATATTTTATCTGAAGTTTTATGATGTAACAGTACTTTTGTATTGTTTATTTTCTATAATTTTTGCAGTTTGCATTACTATATATATATTTTTACTCAATTTCGGATTCTTTCAGATAAATAATAAAGCTGCTACTGGAGAGGAAGCTCCTAAGAGTATATTAGTGACATCTAGGCAGCAATATGGATTACCAGAAGATGCTATTGTTTATTGTAACTTCAATCAGCTGTATAAAATTGATCCAGCTACATTACAAGTTTGGGTGAATGTAAGTATATTAAAATGTTGTGTACTTCTAAATAAAATTAGGGAATAATTTATTATACACCATGTTTCAAAAAGAATACACCTATTACAAAGTGTTATTTTGTCCAAACTATCGATCACTGCGCTTCGGCTCAGCTATTGGCAAAACAAATACATAGTCTATATTAATATATATAGTCTATATTAATATAGTATAACGAAACAAATACATAGTTTATATTAATATCTGCTAGATATCAGTTGTCTTCTGTTTCGTGTGGTAACTGTCACATGTTTAAAATGGATACTCCGCAGCAGAAATCATTTTGTGTTCTCGAATTTGACACTCTGTGGCTTCTTCCTGTGGGGATTTCATTACAGACAACGTTTATGTGCCACCACTCCTACAGAGCCTGTAAAAGGTGAAGAACCAGATCCATACTGCCATAGCATCAGTGACGATGGACATGTTTGCTCGAGTATGGGAGGAATTTGAGTATCGATGTGATATTGTTCTTGTCACTGGCGAAGGACATACTGAACATCTGTAATCTGAACTTTAGAGGTTCGTACATATGTGTATAAAGTTTCATGTATGTATGTCATACAGTTTAATAAATATATTCATTCAAAATATGTATATTCTTTTTGAAACATGTTGTATATTAAAATTAATTTTAAGATACAAAAGCAGTAACAGATCCCAAACAGTTAAAGAAAAATATAAATGCAAATAGATTATGCATTTTAAAATTATGGAAATTGCCACCAGTTTTAAAGTTATATAATTTATCAGTAATTCTTGACATTGCAAGACTTCTCTAGTAGATAACACCTTATAGTAGACGGTAACTCATAACCCTATCCTGTGTACTTTGCGATTCAATTAAAAAATAATGATTTAGAGGGGGAAAAGTCTGTATTTTTTACTTAATTAAAATCTTGGGCTAATCTTAGGACACCCTTTATAATACAGGGCCCACTATTTGCCGAGCAGTGAAGTCACTGAACACTGGTAGTTCAACCTGTGTTTGATTCCGAATGAATGGGCTGCCTGCATGGACATATATGTAACTTTCCACATCTGTAACATGGATACGAGCCAGTTTCCCTAATTTAGAAATTCCTTCACAATGGCTTTAGGTTGATATTCGCCATAATCAAATAAACTGAAACTAACCACATAGTGCATAGCAGTATTGTGAGATGGTAGTTCTGTATGGTGAATGCCAATAAAACACCATGCTAGTAGCATGGAATTATATTAGTTTTCTAGCATATATCCAAGTGTAAACTTCATCATTAAAACAATTTGACAACACTAACAGGAAATACTATAAGGTAGTGTCAGTCAGACATATTAGTAGGTACTGGGATACATATAAGAGCTGAGGACATTTTAGCATGAGCATTAGGCCTTTGACAAAGCAATATCAGTGATATCAGTAGGGTATGTATAGCAGATTTTGCTATGCCCATTCTTGTCACACCATAGCAAAAAAAATTGTGTAGACAGAGAGTATATGATAATGCTGGTGCAGTGTGAAGCCTTGAACAAAGTCTATGATGCCTATTTTTACTCCATTTTTTTTTTTTTTTTTAGCAGACAAGCAGTATCCAACATGGCAGTTTTTAAACCAATGCAACTATCATTTTTAGAGTTGGATAGTGTGTCATGGGATCTAGTTGTCAAAATCATGAATGCAAGTCCATTAACATATGGCAAAGTATCTGGTTGTAGTGACAATTTTTGGCCAAAAACGTTCTTAAATTTTTTTTTTTTTTTTTTTTTTTTTTTTTTTTTTTTTTTTTTTTAATGAAAGCTGTACCTTTAGTGTAGGTAGTAATCACCACCCAAATCCAACATTTTATGCCAATGTTTTTGGAGTTTTTCAAAGCCTTTGGCCGAGAGATTTAATAGCTGTAAGTTCAAAAAGCAAATCAATCTAATTTTGGATGTCCTGTGCAGAATGGAAGATAGCACCAGCAAGGTGTAGCTACAGGTGTGAGAAAAAGTAGAAGTCTGAAGGAGTGATGTTGGGGCTATATGGTTGGTGTGGCAAAAGATCCCATTTGAGTCTGTACAAAGTCAAGCAGGTAAATGCATACACATGTAGTCTTGCATTATCTTGATGGAACATTATTCTTCTTGTGCCGGAAATGAGTTCGATTTTTTCTTTGATAGCAACGTCAACACAGACTAGCATTTTGACCTTACTTTCTAGATTTTTTCTTTTTTCCAGAAACTCTTTTTGGTTAATGCCACAATCATCCCAAAGGTAAAAAGCATGATCTTTTTGTTAGTCATTTTGTTAGTCCTTGTGATGTTAATGGCTTCACCGGTTGCAGACCAACTCCCCTTTTCAGCCCATGTTTTCATCACATAAACCAATTTTCATCACAATTGACAATCTGGTGCAGAATTTGTCCTTATGTTGATATTCGAGCAGATTAGTGCAGGCCCAAATAAGTCTGTCCTTGTCTGCTTGAGTCAGCTCATACGTCACCCATTAATTGAACTTGTATGTCAAGTTTATGCGATGCATAACACGACTAATGGGCATGGCACTAAAGTCTAATTCCTTAGCAAGCTCTCGAGGGGTTGCTTACTGAAATTCTTCCACAAGTTCTCGCAGGTGGGCATCATTAACCATCAGTAAGTTGGTCAGAGTGCTCTGCTTCTTGAATATCATAGTCCTTATTTTTTTTTTAACTCTTCAGTACCAAACCTTCACAGTGATATATGATACAACATTAGTACCTAAAGCTGTACACATGATTTGGTGACATTCTGTAACTGACTTTCTGCAACAGAAATAGAAGGAAGCTGGTAGCATGATAGCTCCATTTCAGATACCCTGTACTTAATGGTAATTTTTTACGAATTTCGCAACACGGTGTTCTAAAGCAAGTCTGTGTCTTTGAAATGCGAAAAATCATTTGACAAAATACAATTAAACATGGCAACGCAAACTGTTTTGCGCAGGCGTTATTTGTAGTAGCCGGAAACTTCATTAAAACTGGATATTTAAAAAAACACTTAATGGAATTTATGTTCAACATAGTCATTAAATAGAAAGATATCTTCAGCCCCAACATAATGGATCTAGCAGATATTAGAGAAACAGACTATCACCTGCAGTGCTACTGTTGAATGGTCTGTACGATACCAGACCTCACTTTTATTGATTTCCTTTTGGGGGGTAGACTACATAAGCAGTTCAAATGTGATGACATCTTTCAGTCTTTTGGATAGAAATTTTACAACTAATGATGCATGCAAGAGTGTTATTTTTTGTAATTGTTGAATGCATGTACAAAGATACTTTCTTGAATACTGATATAGTCAGCAGTATCCTTCTTGAACATGCTTGAAACTAGCTTGTAAACAATACGAGTCTGTATATATTAAATGTATATAGTTTATCCATTAAATTATAATTTTGTGCTGAAGTGTATCTTTGGTTTCATACATTTGAGGCTTTTCAGGCCAACTGTATATTGTGTTTTTGCTTACAGTTCATTTTCGTACAGAAATTGACTTTGTATTGCTTTATGAATGAGAATGCCCATCTGTCAGTTTTTCTGTAATAGTAACGTTCTGAATTTTGCTGGTGTAGGGTGTACCATAACTGCTCTCATATTGTAGGGCATGATCTGTCAACAGAGAGACATTACTTTCATGCCTCTAGCAGGCTGTATTTATCAGTTATTTAGAAACAAATGAAATTTCCTGTTTATATATATATATGCATATTTGTAAACTTAAACATTGATGGTATAAACATAATACGATGGCAATTCGGAAACTAACTTCTGTTTTGCTGTAAATAATAATAATAAAAAAAAACCAAACATTGACTCAACAAATTTTTATTTACATCTGAAAAATACATCAGCTTTATTTTTCAACATTTTCACAATGTACATTCAAGCTCTTGTAGCGTTTTTACCAACTTACCAATCCCTTCTGCTTAAAACTCGGCAGCCTTGGTTTGAAGTTCCAGATCATAATGAGAAGGAGCTAGGTCCATGCTGTAGAGGGCATGTTGAAACAGATCCTATTTGAATTGGTGCAAAACATCTAGTGTTTGCTCAGCACTTTGAGCACAAGCGTTATCGTGCAGGTACACAACCCCAGATGTCAGCAGGCCGCAGTGTTTGTTCTTGATGCCTCATTTCAGTTTTCTCATTTCAGTCTTCAGAATTGATTGCTGTACCATCTTCCATAAATTTGACAAGCATTGCATTAGCATCTCAGAACACAGTGACCATAACCTTCCTCATTGGCAAAGTTCAACGAGCTTTCCTCAGCCGTGTTGGAGATGCCAGTAGACTTTATACCATTGACTGTTTTGTCTCAGCATTAACATGTCTTACCCAAGTCTCATCATTAATCTCTATTCTGTTCAAAAACTCCTCCCCTTTTGTTTGGTACTGGGTAAAAACATCTAAGGCAATGCCATTCGGTTGGTTTTTGATGATTTCTGTAAGAATTTTCGGTACTCATCAAGCGTAGAACTTTTGGTAGCTTAATTTTCCGATGACTACCGTATGCAAAACAGTCCAAGAACTCTTTGGAAATTGTTGTGAAAGTTCCAAGATTGTGAATCAATGGATCTGACAGATTTTATCATCAACATGTTTGAGATCATCACTCACTACAGATGGCCTCTGACTCCTTTGATTCATTGTGAATGTTTGTTCTTCCTTCTTTGAAAAATCTCGCGCACTGATGCATTTCATCTTCACCCAAAATATTTGGGCCATATATGACACAGAGTTCATAATAAATGTCAGCTACTGACAGTTTTTTTTTCCATAAGTCCAAAGGGGGCAATTTGTCCTGAAGGACTATTATTTTCATTTTGCCTTTTTGCGTTTGTTCACCATAAATGTCCAATTCACTTTTCAAATCATTACCACCAAATATTACTGCCCTGTATTATATTTAAAGAAATTAAATAATGAAGAATCTGCATAAATGTTTCTATGTTTCTCCCGTTGTGATAAAACAACGAT